AATCCAAAGGCCTGAGTCGTTGATGCCCGTGCCCGTTCTGCAGGCAGACTCTGTGGCAATTTTGGGGGGTCCACCGGAAATCAGGGCGTAGCCTTCCTCCTCGTTGTAAGCTAGGACCCAATAGGGACCTGCAAAAGCCGGAATCAGGAAACATGGGGCCACTTCCAGCTGTCCCTTGTCCTGGTCTACAATCCTCGCACACAAATTGCCACTGAATTCTGTAAATGGAGGTGTCACGGATTGGGCGGAGTTGAAGACCGAGACATCGTAACCCAGCAGGCTGCGCTGCAACTTGTACTCGGCAAACACACAGCGATTCCTTGGCTGCAGGTTGACAAGCATTGGCTGCGGCTTTTGCTGGTTGATTCTGCTGCATCATCCCCTCTATCCCAAGTCCCAGCAAGCCTGTGGTAGGGTGAGCATGTGCCCTCTCAGTAAAGCTACAGACCAAAAGTGAGTGATGACCATCGGAACTGAGTATGTAGGTTTGCAGGGATTGAGCACGTTTTCAAGATCTTGTCAGCCCCGACGGGACGACTTTGCAGGAGCGCTGCTAATTCTTGCAAGGCTCGTAGTTCTCGGAAGATAAAGGACTTCCATTTGCTGCTGGACGTTCCAGCGTCTGGAAATAAAGCCTTCGAGGTCAAAGTCCGTCACCTGCAACAAGTTTTGTGGGAGGATTGGCCGGCGGTGCTCAGAGCTTATGTCGAAGGACCGGGGACATTGAAACCAAGCAATGCGAATCACACAGGCCCGAAACAGGTCTAGTTATATAGCAAAGCTTGCACTTTCTATCACGCCGGGCCACGCTCTGGAAGCCTTGTGGCGGACACGACGAACGTGATGGCACTGGGGGCGGAAGCAAGGCCGGCTGCGTCTGTGCGCGTGCAGCAGGGAGACGGTCAGGAAGGAACCGTAACCAATTGCGACTTGAGGCGGGGGACTCCTTCGTCAGGATGGTGGCGGCATCCTTCTCGAGCTTGCAGTCTGCTTGCACGGCGGCTCCAACGGTGGCGATCTCGCCGAAGTTAGCCATCAGCGCCGTGAAATCGCCGGCGCACAAAGCTCCCGAATTCACTGCTTGCCCGCAGGCGTTGGCTGCGAAGGACAAATAGGAAGCAATCCAAGAGATGGAAGTAGTGAAGCCAGCCACACTGGCCGCGCAGCCGACGGTCGAGTTGTTTAGGCACTCAAGGCCATCATAATCAATGGCCTTGTACAAGGCAACCACGGCCTGCGCGAGGTAGGCCGTCGCTTGGACGGTGTCGATAACCTTGCCCAGGCCCCATAAGCCGACAGTTCAAAGACATCTTGGCCAGTAAGCCCCATGGAACCAACATTAAACTGACTAAGACAACCACCTGCAAAAGACCCATTGGATCCCTTGCGGATGAGGAGCGCACTCCGTCCGGATCCGTGGCAGCTCCTTTGTCTGGGAGGTGTAAAAGAGGTCGCTGAGATTTCGCAGGGGATGCTGCTCCTTCAACTGTTCCGCCTTCTGGATGATCTTGTCCATGCCGGGGAGGTTTTCCCATCTGGTGGCATCGTCCATGGTGATCGTGTCGGTATCACTGCCAGAAGTTACAAGTGACGGGGACCTGGTTTTTGTAACCAAGCCCGCCACAATGACCAGCCCTAGACCCGCGCCAGAAACGAACCACCGGCATTTTCCTCGGCTAGTTCGCGCTTCGCGGACCTGGGCATCGACCAGCAGCTGGGCCTCCTCTGAGTGGGGCACCATGATGGATGCGCTACTCCTGTGAAATCGGCGACCCCGGCAGGCTTTGTAGCGTAAATATACATATACATCTATAAATGCGAATATAATGTATACATGTATATATGCTGGTCTCAGCAACCACCTGACTATATCAAGTCTTCCAAAGCCTGAAATAAGGCCATGCTGGGCCAGGCTGGGAAAAGCCTCGAAAGAAAATAAGAAAAACCGCCATTTAGGTTAAGGCCGGATAAGGTCATCATAATTTGTGCACCTATGCGATAGACTACTGTTCTGCACATGCTCATGCTAGTGTTTGGCCTGCTGCTGCATGAGATGGAGAATACTTTCAAACAGCAAGGACAACCCAACCAAACTCCTAGATCGGCATGGCATGCAAGGGAAGGAGGCGCTCAGGTGGTCTCCAATAAGAGAGGGCCTCAAAGGCTATACCGTCGATACCGGTCCATATCCCAAACTCGGGGTCCCCTTTCACGTGAGGACCACCCATCCCTGCATGCCATGTCCGCCCCGGGCCGCTACACACTCACAGCTGCAAGGAAACCTTCCCACATGTCTCGAGATAAAAGCAGGTGCCAAGTGCGGATTTTTCCGCCAGAGTGAAAGTGAGCCGCAACATTGCGGCCGAAGACGTGAAGGCACAAATATGGGCATGGGCTCACTTCGCCTTTGCAGCCAGCGTTTGTGCAACAGTAGACGTTGCAGAAGCATCTGCATAGCCGGTGTAGTTTGCAATGAGACGGTTCTGGTCCAAAATGGTTCTAGCTACTGATGGCCGCTTCTCGCACGAATTGCCCCAAGCATGCAGACGGTCCCAGTCGCCACCGCGAGGAACCTCAAACCCCCGGTAAGTGCCAGCCTTGACGGTGCCCAAACCATCTGAAAACTACGTAAACATAAGGTCCTCGACGCAAAGAATAAAACACAACTCTCATGGAAACGAGGCAATCTCTAGAACAGCCAGCAGATGGTAAGAACTCCTCAAAGCACAACCCAGATGCAATGCTGCGGAATCGCGTCCACCAAGGGCAGAGGGCAACATCCACCATGGTGAACTCCTTGAAGTTTTTCCATGTCAGGCATTTGCATGGGTAGTATTTAGACCTAACCAGAGGCATCCCCAAGCAATGCTTCATAATGTTCATCCCCAGAACCGATCCATGATTTTGTAGTTTCCCTACATAGGGATACCCCAATATGAACCCAAAATACTACAATGTACCTTAGCATGAGGACCCCCAAAGATCTACCCCTAGTCTTCGGAAACCCGCATTTTGAGAAGCCATTGCCTCGCCAAGGAAAAACCCTCTTCCATCAGCAACGGGATCCATTGCTTGGGCAAAGACGAGTAAGCCATCTAACAGGTTCTTCTTTTCGGCTTGGCGCTCATCTCCAGTCTCGCGCATCAGTAGCCGATAGAAATGAGGAATAATCTTCCTGAAGCCAACTCAACACTAAGCCATGTGTGCCTGCACGTCTACTGGAATGAAGTTGGCGCAGTTATGCAGATAGCGTTTGCTGCTGAGAGTCTCACCAACATACGCGCACCAAATGCGAACGCGAGCACGAGCTTCAGGGCGCGACAGGCTCGGCATCAATGAAGGCCCCGGTAATGCCTCGTCGACATATTCGACGCAAACCTTGGACGCGGCAGCTTACGGTCACTGCAAATTTGGTGAGGAGGAGGCTGACTAGCTACAGTGATTGAGTCGGCTACCATAGACTCGTGGACTCGGTGCACCGAACCATCTGCTTGGGCGTACTCAATTGCAGGCAGCAGCCCCTTCGGACTCGATGCCATGAAGTCTGGATAGCGTCTTTTCTTCCCGTCCAGTGGAAGCGGATTTTTCGAGTATCTGGCGCGCTAGATTCAGGAACTCACTTGCATGTCAAGGCTAAAGAGAATCAAAACGTGACTGCGTGACCCCCCAGGCTTACTAGCATCCTCCTGGTACGGTTCAATGGCGACGTACTGGTACGCCACACCCTTTTCTTCCAAAGCTATCCAAGCTCGCTGCGCAAAGGGGCAGAACCTCAGCACTTGAATGTGACAAGCCCACAACAGCTTTTGACCGGTGATGAGATCTTTGTCTTCGTGACCTGTAACCTGTAATTATGAGGGCGCCGAAACCCCAAAACTTAATCTTACTGGTGCTCAAGGGTGCGCGGGGGGCGAGGATCTCGGTCATCATCACTATGAAATAGCTACAGTCAATATTTCCTACACAATTTAATGGACATGGTTTCCTTATTGGAGACCATATTAGGGACTACGTACACTAAACTAGAGGGACCCCTATGTCCACTGTTAAGGGTTCCTCAAGAAGCCTAAGTCTGACAGTGGCTCATACTTGCAGGGTCATGGGGACTTAGTAAGTAGGTTAACAAACCCCTGTAACCCATATAGTAACCCTAGCTATCCCCCTTATTAACCTACTCACTAAGTCGCCTAACCTGTATTCGCTCCCCAATGCCGGGGCCAAGTCCAGCGACAAATTGGCACGTGGCTGCCATTTAGAGGTTTCCTAAAATTAGGGGCACCCCTTTTCGGGGTCCTCCTCATAAGGAAGACATATTTTGGTGGTCTACATTGGGTGCCCGTATTTTGGGAAATTACCATTTCTATCCTAGCGGCCATCCGCAGAAAAGGCGAAGCGGCTGCTGCGTGCTTCGCTGCTGAATAGTCTCCTCGCCGGAAACCATGGCGTCGTTTTGAATTGCTGGCAAGCTAATTTCTTCGACTTCTTTGCTATATCTGTGGTGTGTACTCTGGATGCCACACACGCAGAAGCTCGATTCACAACGCACACGCTAGAAAGCATCCTGTTACTGGTCTGTCTAGCACTCCTTCCGTACAGAAAAACAAAGCTGCAAAAGTGCTGCGCAAGTCTATCAGCACCTTGCACGGCATGGTAGGCGGAAGCTTGCGAGGGCTGATTTTGAGGGAACGTTTGATGACCAGTCACAATGAGGCAAAGCTTCACCGACGCTTCAGAACTCTGCGACATTTTTACTCATGTGCCACGCAAAGGCAAGGGGTGGTTGTCCTCAGGACATCCACATCCAAGCCAATCATAGTCAAGTTGTTCTTCTAGCCAAGCCAGTGCAAGCTGACACATCTGGCCCTGTCAGTCCCACAAATCGCTGATGCACTGACCCAGCAGCCTACGTTTTCATGAGGCGCATGGTCCCCCGCATCTGGTCTTCAGGCGTAGGCCACGGCTTGTACGACATGCAGATTTGTACCCGCTTTCTCACTCTCTCTCTCTCTCTCTCTATCTAAAGCACCTGAAGCTTCTCAAGGCGGGAGTTGCCCGCATGTCGTACAAGGCCCCATGTTGAACAGACTACCTACATGGCACCGATGTGAATTGCTGGTGCTCGCCAGCGTGGTGGCTGTGACCGGCGGGTGATGATCACTACTGTAGCAGGTGCCAAGCGGCTGGAATGTGCAGTCCACAGCCACCGAAAGAAACTGGCCAAGCCCCCAACTGGCAGATAGAACTTAGAACATAAAACCGTTCACCCCAGTTCCCACAATTGGGTCCGTTTCAAAACGGTTGATGTGGGTGTTCAGGTGGCGCGCGCACAGTAGGACTTGCCTCGGGCACACTGACAAGCTATCAGACGACAAGTCTTCAGCAAAACCAACCTACCAGCAAAACATGTGGTGCATTGACAGTGTATCGCATGCAGATTCCGGGAGCCTGCGCCAGTCATCATACTGTGCCTGACGAGGGCACAAGGTAAGTACTTGGGACCACATAGTCTTGCTCACCCCCGCGGAGACATGTGCTGCAGCCCACGGAAACCATCAACTGGTTTGTATGACTGTATGATTTTGAAAAAAAAAAACAATCAGGAATGAAATCCTATGTTCCCACACTTGCCTTAAGGGCGGGACAAGCAAAGATGTTCATGCACTGAGTGGGACAACACGTCAGAACTCTTGTTCCCCAAATGGCCATTATAGAAAAGAATTTCCACCACATTTCCCGCTTCTAGACCTAGAAAACTTTAAATAAATTCTGCAAAGGGCGTTTAGATCAACCCCCAACAAATTCAGGTTGCAGGGCAAGGCGTTGGGGAAATGTGGCCGACGCCTGGAAGGACTCATGCACAGGCTAAGTTTCAGGTTGGGTCTACATCATCATTCTTACAGTCATAGGATCGTTCGTCTCAGAAGGGCACACGGCGGTCGAAGAAGCTCCCATGCCTTTGGCCTTCCTTAAGTAGATCTGCCTGGGGGGAGTATGAAAGGGTTGTGCCTGGGTGTGGCGCAACCCAGCTTTCTATTACTATCTCATGCAGGATGACGAAACGTTATCATTGAGATCGGATCTTTTGGTAGTTCCAGCCCTCAAAGGAACGGACTCATGACTATCATATGACTACCATAGGCTCCTGTTCATGCAGGTTCGGACTATGAAGTAATTTTACTTACTGTGGCGACCGAATCTCGTGCCTTCTCCTCCTTGATGCGCTCCTGTAGCATTTTAGCATTGAGAGCTTCCAAAACCGTGTGGGCCTCTTTCGTGCTGATCCGAATCGCGCGATACTTTGGGCAAAGCGTTGGGCTTTTGGCTCCTTAGGGTTCAGGGTTTGTTGTTCGGTGCTGTGGCTCTGGGTCCCCACATGCCCTTCCGCGAATCAGTGGGACTTGCCACCATCAGATTTGGGAGGTTGCCCTGTGCATTTTTTAAGTCGGATTTTCCACCAAGAGAGGTCCCCGTTACAATAAAATCCCTGTCCATATCTTTGTCCATGGGGTGCTCCATTTGAATCACCATTCTGGTCCCCAAAGACTGAACCGTACAAATACACATACATAAACATACATATGGTGGTTCCCCAAAATAGGGGGACCTCAATGTAGACCCCCAAAATGCTATAATCCTTTAAACTTTTTGGGGGTCCCCTCATTTTGGGAAGCCCCAACCTCCATAATCCTCTGTATGATCCCGGTTTCCATATCATTTTCCATGTTCATTTCCATTTCATTCTCTATTATAGTAGGGAAACCCCTACATAATTTGGGGAAAACGCCCTAAACCCTAAACCCCTAAACCCTATTTAACCCATATTATATATCCATATATGTATATACATATATACATATATATATATATCTATCCATGTCCCCTACTTAAGCTATAATAAAACCGTATCCCGCGTCCTCCTCCTCAGCGCTCAGCGGCCCCTTCTGCTGCGGCTCCTTGCCTGCGTCCCAAGTTGAGGCCTCAGCTTCATAGGGTTTAGGCTTTCAGGGTTTTCGTAAGGTTTTACGGTTTAGGGTTTTAGGGTTTTTGGGTTCTAGGGTTGACGCAAGGTGTTACGGTTGAGGGTTTAGGGTTTTAGAGTTTTAGGGTTGTAGGATTTTAGGGTTTCAGGGTTTTAGGGTTTCAGGGTTTCAGGGTTTTAGGGTTTGAGTTTGGGGGTTTAGGGTTTTAGGGTTTCAGGGTTCTAAAGTTTAGGGTTTCATGGTTTAGGGTCTATCTAACGTCCTAACTGCCTGCCCCTAATTTGGTCCCTTAGATGTGTTCCTATGTTCTACCTATATGCCCTTAATTGGGTTTGTAAAGCTTTACCCTAAACCTTAAAACCCAAATCCTAAACCCTAAACCCTAGTATAGAGCACATACTGAGTGGACAAGCAGCCCATCATCGAGGACCCATAGTAGGGCCAGAGCACATACTGCTTAGGATTTACAGTCCCCCTTAAGTAGATAGAATATAGGGTTTAGGGTTTCAGGTGGGTTTAAGGTTTAGGGGTTATAGTCCCCTTGAGTAGATAGAATATGGGGATCCTATTGTAATACGAATACCCAAAGCCAGAATGTATCTACTTAAGGGGACTATAGGGTTTGGGCTGTCTTGTCTCTTTCACCCCTTTGGCTCCTTTACGCGTGCCCATGGGTTCGGGGTTTTTAGGGTTCAGGGTCTTTCGAATGTCATAACAACATTTCCGCTACAGTAGCGTCTCCATCCCCATCATTGGCAGGTCTACTGATATTACTGCCGCTAGCTTTGTCAGGCAATTTGATAACTACATTCGAGGAGCTACCGTCCCGAATAGGAGCCACCCAAATGAGCCCTGAATGAATGGCTATGACTTGTCCAGCTCCTCCACATTAGAAACACAAAAGCAAATGCCAAAAGAGCATCCATCATAACAATACATTTCGTCTTGGGGCGAGCCAGGGTTGTTTGTTGCAAGGGTGCGGATGTACTCAGATTGGCTCTCTATACCCCGTGGATTTGTTCGCAATGTCCAAGATTTGGAGAAACCACTGCTGAGTGCCCTGCCATCTTCCGCCTGCCCGTCCCCGTGGCAGATGTCTTGGGCTCCTTTCATTGCAGGTGATGAGCATGCGAATGGCGAAGTGTGACTAAAAACTCTGAGCTAGGGCAACGCTGATACTGAAAGCCTCTGGTTGCATGACCTGGGACCAATGTATAGCATGACTTCTCTTTGCGAGACAGCAGTCAGCACCCGTGCAGACATGCAAAATGCCGACAACCTCGAGGCATTCAGTTTCTTGCTAGCACCGCCTTGGGTCAGAACATTTGTCACGACTGCATCCTGGTAAACCTGGTACCATCCACCCGCCACAACCAAAACGTGATCAGAGCATCGAAATTGAGAACCCTAAGCCATGCCACGATAGTCCCAAAACGAACGAATCTTCAAACCACAAACTTTCTGGAGATTCGTAGGGAAGAAGGGAATATATTACATAGGGATTATCTAGGCCTGATATGCCGTACTAAGCACCAGTAAGCAAAGTCCTCCATTTTGGGCATGAAGTCCATCCTGCGCAGCCGCCACCATTCAGGTTGGAGCGTGGACAAGGAGTGTGCTTGGATAAAAACGAATCCATTCCCTCGAATGCTCAGCCCCCCCCCCCCCCTAGTGACACCATCTTGTACTAGGGGAAAGTTGATTTTAAGGCGTAGCTATAGGAGGTGATCACGACAGGTGTTAGGATGTATGAAATCTCAACAGCAAAGTAAGATCCCATTATCCAGCACAGAAGCGTTGAGATCCTTGTTGTAGGAACCTCCAAAGCCAACCCCCTAAACCCTAAACTCTAAATGGGTTTAGGGTTTAGGCAGAAACCCTAACCTCAGCATTCATCAGGAGTTGAAGGGTTCTTGAAGGGTCGGCCATACCGGGATGATACAGGGAAGGTGTGCAGATTGTGTGGGGGTTCTACACTCTAAAACAACGGCAGCCTTGTTCGGATGGAAACCCAAGAGGCGGCCAAGTTATACAAAGACAGAGCAAGATAGCCCTTGTAATCAGGACACTGCATAGTCTACTGAGCTCGGAAAGATTTCGGAAAAGTCGGATGAACAAACCGGGGGGTCTCACAATGGCGATCCATTTCCATGAAGCTTTGCAACCAGGCCTACCTCATTTTGGCAATCTTCTTTGGGGGCTTGGCATGGGCAGTGGTCAGGTATGCCAAACCCCCGACGTCGCTAAAGATCTTGTCCTCTCCCTGAGCACTCCGCAAACATGGAACAACGAAAGCCCCCAGCCCGACAAAGACTCCTATCCATGTGAAGGTGCTTATGTGGGATTCGATTTTCTTAGTTCAAGGATGGTTCATGTTGGAGCTCTTGAGGAGCAAGCATCGCTACATCCTCACGTGGCAGGTCCTGAAATACTCGTAGTCGCGGTCCTGATCGGCTTTGCCACTTGGATACTCGTTGCCGTTAAATACTCTGATGCACTTGCTTGATGCGGCAACATCACGCTTCTGATTTCTATGACGCTTTGATGTGTTCCTAAGCTTGCGCTTCTTCTGGACACTTGGATTCCTCTGCGTACACAATCTCTTCTGCAACTTTAGCTGCGGGGGCTCCTGATGAGGCAAAGACAGGAGCTTCCTCTGATGTACCTCCCGGCAGGGACATCTCTGAGGAAACCCCACGTGCAGGCAGCAGTTCCATACACGACTCTGCTCCGGACTACTTCTATGGCCTCTGGTCTCATGACTGCATACAGTAATGGCAAGTCTGAGTTTACTATTCTCAATGGTATGGCCTTCTTGCTTCTGAGAATTCTTGATGCCATTACTCTTCCATTTATAGCATGTTATTTCTCTCGGCCATATGAGCCATAGTCTAAACTCCTAGTATCCCCCTTAATAACCCCTATAATAGTCCCCTATATAACCCCTATATAACCCCCCGTTAAGGAGTCATTTCTCTAGGCCATGTGAGGGCACATTGTCTTGCTGAAGCTTGCTGTGCTCGAGCTTCTGCAGGCGACCCTCAGCCCACACGAGCGCTCACAAGAAGAGTCACTGTCTGATAATGGACTATGGGAATTGCAACCAGTTTAGAGTTTAGGGTTTAGGGTTTAAGGTTTAGGGTTTAGGGTTCTACCTGATAATGGACTATGGGAATTGCAGCCCAAAATGGCAGGAAGAACCCGGGTTATAGTGCTCCTTACAACGGCTATGACAGCATGCTCTAGAAAATGTGCATCTAAATATGAAGATAGATTTATATATATATATATACATTTCGTACGAAAGGATATATATGGTAACACTAGACAGGTATGTTCCCCCAATACCAGTGCTTAACATCTGGACGGGCACCATAGATACGCCAATCATCACTTTTCCCCATGTAAAACTTGTACATGACCTATACATACTTCCTCTTGGTTCCTCTACTTTCCTAGCTTGAGCTCCACTTGAAGATTCATAAGACATCGTCAACACTTTTGCCTGGGCTTATACGCTATAAATCTATTGGACAATCCACTCTTACTAGGTACCATGAACCTCCAAGTGCAAGGGATTCTCGCAGCTCAGGCGGCAACGACCTTCGGAGTCCTTGGCAACAGCGTAGACCGCGGGCTTTCCAAATGTCCGAAGTACACTCCGGGAAGCACCTGGGCAGTTTTTGGTGGTTGGACCTAGTGAGACTATATTCCTCTCAACATACTATGCTACAGCCTGAAGGAGGATATGATTGTACTCTATTGGGGACTATAGGATCCCCAAACAAAATGCGACCCGCCTGAGGAAACCCTCTGACCCCTCCGAGGCATAGCCAAACTCAGGTGTAGAAAACCTGCGGCTTGCATGCTCACCCTGTTTAGGGTTTAGTGTTCGGGGTCCTATATATCCTTTTCCTGTTGCCTCAAGCCCTAAACCCTGAATCCCACCTCCACCGGAAGTTGAGCTTCTTGGGCTTCTCGCATGGCTGCCTGCTGGGCTGCCACCGCAAACTCCGCCTTGCCAACTGGGCTTGGGATTTAAGCTTTGTGAGGTTACATAGGGACGATGGCAAAGAAAATGGAAACTACTATGTTATGGGGTTGTATAGGGTGATATAGGGTTTAGGGTTTAGGGTTGCACTTAGTGGGGTGATGCTGTGTTCTAAGGGTACATAAGCTTTAGGGATACAGAGGTTGTAGGGTGCAGAGTTTGAGGGCGAAGGGCTCAAGGTGTTGACGCTGTAGGGTGGCCCGCAAGCTACCCTATAGCTGTGAGGGAACTTATAGTCCCTCTTAAGTAGATAGAATATGGGGTATGGGGATCTTACTATAAAATGCCCAACGCCATTTTCTATCTACTTAAGGGGGACTATAACTTAAGTGACTATTACAAGGGCACCATCATTTGAATTACCAAATAAACCCACCATTATCTTAACCTAGCTTAAGTTCCTTAAGTGGAAGCCCCAGTACGATTGATTAGTGTTTTTTGGGTGGTTGAACCTAGTAAGCCTATATTCCTTATATAAATATTAGATCCCAAAAGGAGGATATAATCTTACTCTACGTTGGGTACCATAGCACCCCCAAATAAAATACTACTCAATTAAGCCTCCATCCCCATGAACCCCATCTAGAGATGACCCCCACTTTGGTCATCGGCCCTGAGGCCCGAACCATGGCAATCATTTCCTGATCCAGGCCTGTGGGAATCTAGGATTCTAAGGATATAGTGATTATAGGGGTTTGGGGTTCAGGGTTTAGGGATCTGAGGATATAGTGGCTATATTGGGATTATATTGGGATAATGGAAAAAGACAATGGAAAGTACTGTGGGCGGCAGCGGATCACGTTGGGCTGATCAAGGTCTGGGTTTGGACTTGGGGCTTAGGGTCTAAGCTTTCTTCCCGCCTCTTCGTTTAGGGTTTTTGATTTGGGTGTATGAGACTTTGGGCATCAAGCATCACAGTTTCGATGTGTATCTTTGTTGCTCTCCCACCTCCTCTTCTTGACATCGATTTCTCCTTTGCTCCCGTGAAAGTGTTTGCCCAGCCGGCTGTCTTTTGAGGTAGCAGGTCACCTGCAGCAAGCAGATCTAAAGCTGCTACAGTAGCACTGCAACATGGAATGCTTGAAAGTTCCTCTCGTACTGCTGAGGGCCCAGTCTCATGTCTGCACTAGCTAGGATCTCAGGTAGACAGGCCCAAACAAAAAGCTCTTGTTCAATTACACCCCAGTGGCCGATGTCGCTTTCCAGCATTGGGTCGACGCTGTCAGAGGAAGAAGATCCTTCTTCATCATCCTGGGTTGCTGTTGAAGAACTTTACTATATTGGGGGAAACCATACTACTTACTCTATGTATATATGTTATGGTAACTCAATTTAAGTTCCTTAAAAGCAACCCAGCATCAGATGAAGTTGCGGAGGAGCTCTCATCTGGAGGAGGCTCCAGCTCCCCCCGCATCGCGAAAGGGCTGTGGGTCTGCGCTTGTTTGAGGGCATTCCGCTTTTGCTGATACAAAGGCTTCTCCTTTGCATCAGCCTCCATCTGTTTTTGCGCTCCCCAAATGGTCTTCCCTACTCCAAGAACCACGGCGCCGCGCTTTTCATCCAGGAAAGTTATGTTCTTCCCGTAGGGCAACCTTCCGCGCGCATCCGCATCGTCATCTTCCGAGTCTCGCCTTCCATCCCCCCCTCTTCTGCACCGCCAAAAAGAAACAGCTTAAGTAGCAACTATCAAATTTATTGACCCATGGGCCTCGAATTCTCGTTGACCTGCTTGGGGGCCAGGATCTCTTGCAGCTCGGCAGGTGTGCGCCATCCAGGCTGGAGCAGCTGCTCGAACGTCTCATATCCCCGCCGATCTCTTTGCAGCGGTGTCTGCGAACCGCCCAGACTTCTTGAGGATAAACCCCCGTGGTTACTTCTAGACCCTTCATTTCGTCTTCGGCTGGTCTGACACCAAGGCCTAGGACGAAGACTTCTGGAGCTAGCCCGAGTCTGTGCACCGAGAGAACATGCACTGGTCGAAGGCCGCGTGCTGTAAATGGAATTCTCTGTGCTAAACATTGCTTCCGCAGAAAAGGCAGACACTGCCCCGCTGGTATAAGGCCTGGCAGATAGCAAGGGAAAGGATGAGGCTTTCAGGGGATTTGCAAATGCACCTTGGCAGCAGCTTCTCGAATTCGGAAGGGTCGGCTGCCGGAAGGACCATGTCCATCCTGGGTACCGGTACCGGTGTTGCAGAATAACGCTTGACATCAGCTGCGGCTCCCACCAATTCCTCTCTGCAGCCGGGGTGCTCCAAGTGGGCAACATTGGCCAGAGTTGCCTCGAAGTCACTACATGCTACTTGGAGGGTCAACACGTCCCTCAAAGACGATAGCAGAAGCAAGTGCTGTCGTCGCAGAGGCCGGGATTTTCATGGGATTTTCATCATCACCACCACCACCACCATCATCATCATCATCGTCGTCATCGTGATCCTCATTGTGGCAGGGCAGGAGTAGGAGTAGGTCTAGTAGGCAGAGCCGGAAGGAGATGGCAGGAGGTGATGGTAAGTTCAGGGTTCGTAAATCATAGTTAGCCGCACGTCGCTAGTTGTTATGTATTGCAGTAACTGTCAGTCAGTCAATCAGTCAGTCAGTCAGTCAGTCGTCGGCTGTCAGCTGGTAGTTGGTAGTGGGTGGCTGGTAGTAGGTACTTGGTGCTGGGCAGTAAGTAGTCTGTACTTGGTGGGCAGCAGCAGGTAGGTGGTGGTAAGAAACGGGAAACAAGCAGTGGGAAGTAGGCAGCAGGTAGCAGTTGATTGGTAGCAGGCATTCGGTAGCAGGTAGCTAACGACAACAGTAACTAGAGGTTAGGAGTAAGCAGCGGCCATGAAAAATCAAGCAGCGCGAATGAAGCAACAAGCAGCGAACAGTAAGCAGAATCAGCTGTAGCAGCAGCGGCGGCGGCAGCGGGAACTGTAGCGGCGGCATTGGTGCCGGCGGTGGTGGTAGTGGCGGCAGCGGCGTCAGCAAACAAAAACGCCAGAAGGCACCTCTAAAGTTGCAGGCGGCGCTGGCACTTGTAGCCATCTTCGCTTGAGCTTTGGTGAGCGAGCGGCCTAGGCACCAATCAACTTGCCACATCATCCCCGCGGAAGCAAAAGACCCACGAGGGGACACAAGTGCGACATGTAACTGCTTCAAGGCATGCGACAGCTGGCCCTGACCGCGCGCGGAACGGTTTGAATGGTCCCTGCCCCACCATGGCAGGCGATGCGCATCTTAAACTGCCATCTGCAGCTGGCTTTATCTCAGAGCGTGTCAAGCCAAATCTGGTTTCGGGCAGTGTGGCACCACTTCAGTTTGGCGTCTCTTGTGACATTGTTGCAAGGCTGTCTCTGTCAAGCAGCTCCGAAACACGAACAGCGCAGACTTGAGAGCACAACAGGCAATCCAGGCAGATCTTCGTGAAACTCGACTCTTTCAGCACGCATTGCAAACAGCTTCTGCGTGCCGCTGGGGCGACCTTGATGCTCATCTTAAACTAAAACACTGTCATGTTTGGTTTGCCGGGGCAGGCACTAAACCATCCATCCACGTTCTGGCCAGGCAAGGGCCAAACTGGTTCACCTCTGCAAGCTCTCCTCAGCTTCATGGGCGCCATCAGAATCCTGATCACTTGTTTAAGGTGTAGGGTTTAGGGACTTGTACAGCCTTGTTCGAGAAGCTGTAGGATTTTGTCGGAATTGTCACATGCAGGCAACCCCAAAGATATCCATGACACGGCATTGGCTGAGAAGAGGCCGCTCAGATGAGCCGACAGTAGGCTACAACAGCCAAGGGCTCCTAAGCCAAGAATCTTGAGAGATACACGCAACATACCCCTCAGCTCCTGCCTCATATAACCCCAATATAACCCTAATATAACCCCAATATAACCTTAATATAATCTGAATATGACCTTAGTATTACCCAAAGTATCCTCCAATGACCCAAAGTTCGACCTTTGCTGAGTGCCAACCAGAGGGTCGGCCTTGCCACTCCCTCCGAGCATGCCAGGGTTCCGTCAGAAGGGCGCGCATGGGTGCTGACCTTGCTTGAGGGTTTAGGGTTTAGGGTTTACGGTTTAGGGTTTAAGGGTTTGGGTTCAAGGTTTTGGGTTCAAGGTTTAGGTTTAGGGTTCAGGTTTTGGGCTTAGGTTTTGGGTTCAAGGTATAGGGTTTGGTTTCACTGTTTAGGGTTTAGGGCTTGGGCTGTAGGGTTTGAGCCAAGGCACAAGGGGCTGCATGAAAGTTTTGGCCGCTCCAATGTTGCTTGATAAGGCTCCTGCTATCACCCTCCTTTAGACCGTTATCCTAGGCATGACGCAAGTATTTTCCCAGAGCCCCTATACAACCCATTTTAGTAGTTTCCATGTCCTTTTCCATTATCCCCATATAACCACCATATAACCCCAATATAACCCTAAAATAAGCGGAATATGACCCTAATATCAGACCATAATTCCCAAAACCTACCTTGACCCCAACCCCCATGACTGCGTAGAATGCCGAGCTCCAGGCACCACACGGGTCAGTCGAAGGTGAAGGGCAGGTGACGGCAAGATAACAAATGCGTAGAAGAGGCCTCGAAGTTGTCCTAGGGTTTATAGGGGATATATAGGGGTGTATGATATAGGGATAGTGGAAAAGAAGGGTTTAGAGTCAGAGGGTCTAGGGCTGATGGGTTTAGGAGTTTTGGTTCACAGCTGCCGGCGCACGAACTTAGGTCCAGTGCTTGACCCAGAATACCAATATCTGCTAGCTGACCCTAAAAGCAGCCCCTGATGTTTTGAGACACTCCCAAAATTCGGATAATGTGAGAAAAACTTTGCGGCCAATATGAAAGTAGGAAATGAGGGGCTCCGTTGGTGACGTCCTCTTCCACCTGGTCACACGGACATTCAGCCCTGTAAGCCTCACCGTATATTACCCAATATAATAATCCCTCTTACATAGATAGAAAATGGCTTTGGGTCTACTATAAGAAGATCCCCATATACCCCACATTCTATCTACAAAGGGGACTATATCTCTATGTAATCCCTATAGATCTCCTATGTAAGCCCCGAAAAAGAATCAGCAAGTTGGAGAATCCCAGTTCATTGCCACATGGCTCCGTCTACGACCTTCATCTAGCATTATTCCTATTACGACCATTATTCTCATTACTGCTACTACTATTATTACTAGTAGTACGAGCATCGGAATGCCCGCGTGAACAGGTGCGCTAGCCAAGCTTGCTCTCGGGCCCCTCTCTTTCCACAGCTTTCATGTGCGCTGTAGTCTAAACTCTTTAAAGGGGGGTTACATAGGGGATTCTCTAGGGGAGCATTTTAAGGGTTACTAAGGGGGATACTGAGAGTTTAGACTACAGCTCATGTAACCACCCTGATGACTGTACAGGGCATACTTCTCTGAAAGAGCCAACCCTTCGACAGCTGAGCGTTGTATGATCGCCCATATCTATGACATCCTGTAGCATCTCTATTATACGTTGGATCGCCCCATGTACAGCTGGGGCGCCTAGCCTTCCTCATAATTAACAGGAGATAATGCAGTAAAGACCAAAAAAACGGGGTGGGCGGATACTCATGCTTCAGCTTCCTGGCTTCTACTGAAGAGCAAGTGCAGTCAAGACTGTAAAAGCAGGATGACTCCATTTAAAGGCACCGCAAACAACTGCATTTTGCACGAATTCCTGGGAAGTAAGCCCCCCTTGGAAAATTTCACGGTACGTACAAAAGTCCAGACGCTTATACCTCTGGCTGCCTTGTTTGTACAAAGTGGAATAAAATCCGTAACAGGGACCCCTGGAATCTCCTTATGATCCCCAGAAATCCCTGCGGTCTCCAGGGTACCCTCGTCCCAGGTCTCTGCATGAACGTCAAAGTTGCTAGCAGCACCCGGTGCCTGCAGCACGCGCTCCATCTCCCAACCTTTGGGTAGCCCATTAACCCATTATAGTAGTTTCCATGTTCTTTTCCATTGTCCCCATATAACCACCATATAACCCCAATATAACCCTAACATAAGCGCAATATAACCCCAAATATAACCCCAGCAATGGCGTGGCTTATGGGGATCCAGGGACTGTAGAGGTGCCATGAGGCCATGCGCAGGATATCCGTCATGGACTCTTGGGGACATCTAAGCTTCTGAAGAATACACCCTCTTCCCTTTCTTGCAGCGACCATGACAAGGACTCAAGTCTGCGAATCCGTACAGGAAGGGCTGCTCGGAAATCAGGATTTCTCCTCTAAGAATACAACACGTAGCCTAGTATCTAGGTTAGGCCCCCGCCCGGATATTGGTACCTATGTTATGGTCCCTATATGTTCCTATAGTACCACTATTGCTGAGTGGGTGCGTAACCAAACCTATGGTGATAACCGATTTGGACCCGAATTTTTCGGAACCCATCCATGCGTGTCAGCATTCGGCTATGCTTTCGGTTTACTTGCTGCCGCTGCCAGGTACTGTTGTCTTTGTTCTCTTGAAGGTTCACAGTTAAAGCTATTTACGGCCATTATGTCTATGAATACAAGCAATGCTGCTGATACAGTTGTTTTGTTCTCTTTCGCGATGCTGATCTTGAAGCCCAAATACTACATGAGTAGCTCTCAAATTACAGCCCCCTTGACACCATGTCCTTAATTGCAAGGACACCGAAGAGGGACCCGAAGACGGATCCGTGAGAAATCCTGCAAACCCAATGATTTCTCTGCATTGACCCCAAAAACTTCACATACTCCCTACAGGATACACATGCGATAAGGCCATATGGCTCATGAAATTCCTGTGATTATTTGTGATGCTGCCCATAGCCCACGCCCCCCCCCCCCAACCCCACAGACAACTCTTAGCCCTATAGCTGGAAGCCTCAACCCTACATCCCATACCCGTAACTGTACCTCAGAAGCCTGAAGAATTACCAACATCCTCCTCATGACCCATAACTTAAACCTACACCATTACAACCTAACATGCCTCAGTCCATTCTAATCGTTTAGGATCCTACAAATAATCCAGAACCAACCCTTTCTCTCAAACCTGACTCCGAAAGCGTAGCCCCCTCACCCTCCGACGGCAACCACGGTAAATCCAAAACTGCCAAAGCTCCAAGGCACACGGGCGGTCTTTGCGCCCATCGGGCATCCAAACTTTGCAGCAGCGGCGCAGCCATGTCAGGTCGGCCTGCAAGTGGGGGGCTTAGGGCTTCAGGCTTAACCCTAAAGCCTAAACCCGGGGTCTACGATGTCAGGTTTGGGGCTTCGGCTTTAAGTTTCGGCTTGAAGGCCCAGCCAGGGCTTACGGCTTAGGGTTCTGTAAGCGTGCAGGGTGTGTTTTTCGAGAGTTCCATGCGGATCTTGTGGGGATATTCTGGGATTTGATAGGATTTGGGGGTATAGTCCCCCTTAATTAGATAGAATATGGGGTATATGCGGATCTTATTATAGTAGGCCCAAAGCCATATTCTATCTACTTAAGGCGGACTATAGGTGGGTGTGCTGAAAAAGTGCAATCTGCAATCCTTACAAGGCTAGAAATTTCCAAAAATGCGAGTCCCATCTGTGTAACCCAGAAGCCTGATTGCAGGCATTCAGCCCTAGGCCTTAAAACCCTGAACTTTAAACCCTAAACTTGAGACCCCAAACCTTTAGTAATTATACCTCAACGCCGACAAACCTTAGAACCCCAAACCTTAAACCCTAAGGCCCTAAGACCTTGAACCCCTGCATGTTAAACCCGAAAACCCAAATCTGAAAACCACCGTGAACCCAAACTCGTGATAGTAGGAACATGATGGGCATTTAAGGACCCTGGTAGGTATATTCCTACTTTGTTCCTAGGGTTTCCTGTTTGGGGATTCCCATTAGTCCCTTTTTGCCCCCCAAATCCCTGCGTCCACTGGGCCATTCGTTTCCGAGGCCTGCTCGCGCGCAGGCGTCTGCAGCGAAGGTTCGGCCTGCTCAAGCGTTGCTTCTTTGAGCCATACTCTAAACTCCTAGTATCCCCCTTCGTAGTCCCGTAGATAGTCCCTCATTGTAACCCCCTTTAAGGAGTTTAGACTACAGCATATTTGTTGTGTTGGAAGTTCCAGCGTGGGAGTAGAAAGAGTCCAGGTTTTTTGAACCCAGCTGAGTTTTACGCCTGCCACAGTCGGCACATGCTAGGAGACGCTTGAAGCATGAAAAGGCTTCCGAAAAGGGTTGCATAGGAAGTGCATGCCTCTGTGGAGGATGAGGGGGATGTAGGGATCGAAGTTTCAAAGGAGTTATGTAACCCCCTCCCCCCCATATTCCCCCCACCCCCCCCGCTAGTATTGAATATGCCCAATATGCTATTAAATATACCACAATGGGGTATATCTACCATAGGGGGGTCAGGTTTAATATTGGGGAGAGGGGATTAGGGGGAAAAAAATCAATGGGGAAGCTGAGCCACAGTGCTGCAAGCTTGGTCCCTTGCTTCGGGCTCTAAAGTTGATCATCTGGGTTTAGGGTTTAGGGTTTAGGGGTTCGGTACTTCTAGGTATCCAAGCTTTGGCACATGCGCACCTGTCTAGTGAGAATTTACAGCCCTTAGCTGCGGCTTTCTGCTCTTCAAGCCTTCAAGGCGTTTGCCGTCTAGGACGTATCATGGACGCCAAAGCAGCAGCAACCAGTAAACAAGAAATTCCTGGAAGCAATCGCATCAGGGCATACCACACAGAAACTACAATAGCTGATCCTGCATAAATTGAATTGCAGCCCCTGCTCGATCTACGCAGACACCTCTTCCCTCGTGATGCTGGGGTTTCTTCCCGGACCTTAACTTAAAGAGGCAGCCTCATTGTTAGGGGAGAGGGGACTTGGTGATTCGTACGACTTGCAGGAAAAGTCACGGTCCATCAGACCCAAAAAGCCTTCAGCGTCGGTCTTCTTGGCAGCCGTCACTGTGGCCAGTGCCCTTGCCAAGCAGTAGACGGTTTATGCAACCCGCAACCACCCTCCAACAACGTAATCTGAAGCCCCACATGAGCACTCTCCGTAGGGCCACTTTGAGGGGTGGGGCACTTAGGTCTACTCGTATTTGTTCGGGGCATTGCTACCAGCCCAGCAGATAATGCAGGACCCTTGAAGGCTTAGGGTAGGTAGGAGGGTTGAGAAGTCTTTCAGAGAAGTTGAATTTTCCCAAAATCCCCGATACCAAAATCCCCTGAAAACGTCGCGCATGCCACTTGTAGAATTCGGCCTACGCGCTCTCCATCTAGCCGAATGCAGCCCCTTGCGGCGCTGTAGAATGACTTACGGGGGGAGGGGCCTACGCATGCTGCAAAGATGCAAGGCCTGCAAATGATAACAAATCGAGAACCGCTAGCCGCCGAAACCGTGACCTTTCCATCCGCTCAAATTCTTAGCTAACGTCCCTCATACCACCGCCGCATGACATATCCACACATGAAATAGCATTCAGAAATATCACCCTTCAACAGCGCATCCCGCACGTTTTGTCTATCAACCCTATCACCACAAACCTTGAACCGAGTTAAGTTCCAATATCCCTAGACACTACACCTTTAGCTCAAAAAACATACCTGAACCCATGTGAATATTTCTTTTTATAGGAAACCCACAGAAAACCAGAGAATGAGGATCCCAAAGTGAATAGCACATATGATTATGTTGAGAAACTCCCTCCCACATTGCTGATGAGTTAGCAAGCCCTAAAATCAGCAACCATAGCTCATGGCCCCTAGATCCCGCTCCCTACGCTCTTGACCCTTACCTTACCGTGAGTAGGAAACAACGGAATCTCTCATGGTGCCCCTATACCCCATGTTCCTTCTGTCCCTACAAACCACCGGTAAGCTACACCCTTCTTATCCTCAACCCAAACCCCTAACTTGGCAACTTCGGAGCCTCTTCCAAGCGCTGGCCTTGGCACAACATCGCAGGGCCGCCCCGAGGCCCCAGAGCCCCAGGCCCTGGCCCAACCTCAGAGTGAAGATTTATGTGGGCAGATGGAAGCAAAAGCAGAGAGAGCGGGAGGGAGAGAAGGATCCAGCCCATGCTTGAAGATTCCGTACCCAGAATGGCAAACCCTTTGCAGTTTTCTCGGCAGCGCCAAAGTATGGTGACAGTCCGGCAGGAGTGAAACGCGGCTTCCTTGGTTGCATCTGTACCGTGCAACTCCACTCAGGGCCACATGGTGCATCAGCGGCCATAGGAATCCACACCTTTAGCAGTCAGTGGGGGCTAGATACGGGATCAGGTTTGCGGCAAGCGTGCATGTGTGGCGCCTATGTATGGATGGCACACCCCTACACATTGCAGCTACTAAGTCCTGGCACTGGGCACACATGTGAAAGAATACTAACATAGAGTTTGAGCCCGTGACCACCATCACCTTCATCGTATTCGTTGCCATCCTCGCTGGCAGCCTGAATCTCCGACTTGCACTCATCGATGACCTTCCGGGTATCCATGACCTTGCTGCTTCCGAAAGGCTTATGCAGGTATAGCAGTTCGGGGATTAGACACGCGCATCGCACAGCAGTGCAGGGACGGCAACAACTGTCCTGTCCAGTAGTCCCAGCAATTTCAGCTGGGTAGGGGGTGAAGCAAGGACAACTCCACTGTCGACTGTTTTTTGTTCCGCAAGCGCGCGCAGATGCGCAGCACAAGCACGGCGGAGCAACGATCTAAAAACATGGCCATACGGCCGCAGGACCTTGAGGGTCTAGGGTTTCGTCTAGCTTACTACTGTTAGATCTGCGCTGCACCGTAACGGTTTGTCACTGTCAAGCTACGAAGCTCGACTGCAACTCAGAAAGTGCAACTGCCGCCAAGTTGATCTGCTCTCGTCGAAGAGGGAATCACACCATTCAGGGTTTAGCCACATTCAAATTGGCCCTAAAACCTAAACCATAGTGCTTTTGTGAAGGTGCATGGATCCTCCCTTCAACTGGTTGGCTTGTGCCAGCGAGAGAGAGAGCAACAAGGACAGGGATTCCACACTGCGCCCCGAACGCCAGAGCAGGTGAACACACTACGAACCAGGAGAATCGCCAGAGCAACACTTTCTGCTCTGACCTCTGTCTGCTTTTTTTTGTGGGCTACTTAAACAATTCGGACCAGCTGGTTTTGGATAGTGAAGACCTGCAGTTCAGCAGCTGGAGTTTACGTAGAATCCTGAGTTCAAACGCTTGCGTCTCTAAAGGAACGAAACCCCTCAGCACCGAACGCTTTACAGATCTTCGGTCAGCTGGCCAAGCACTGTTGAATTAAAAGTGTAATCAAAGGACGCTCTGCAGCTTGACCGGCGAAGCCCAAATACAGGGTTGAGGGTTGGGAGTCTGGGAGCTTGTTGTCCATTAAAACCTCACTTCTCAGCTGCAAACGATCCTTGGACCCACTTGGATAGCGGCTTCTGGCCGGACGAACGGCGAGAAGTCTTGTGCCCCTACAGTAACAAACTCACCCGGAGCAGGCCAACACATGCTCTGGGAGCCTCATTATGCGGCAAAGTCGACGCCCTCAATCTTGTCCTCGCACTCCTGGTACACATCCCGCAATTTCTGGATGTTCTCCTCATCAGTGTCCCAGTAGCCCTTTGCATTGGCCTCCAGGAACGTCTGAACCATATCCCTCAAGGCATCTGGATTCGCTTCCAACATCTTGTTCTTGATCTCTTCATCCTGGATGTAGGTCGTGTTGCAGTCTTCGTACACGAAGTTGTCAACCGCGTCTGCAGTGGTACTCCAACCGAAGGTAAACCTCATGCGCTTGGAGATTTCCCGGACTCCCTCGTAGCCTCCCTTCAAATTCGCCTCGTAGAACTTCGGATTCAGGAGCTTCGTTCTGCTGTCCAACCTGACCTGGGCGGAAAGAGACCTGACCTGAGCGTTCGCCGTGGTCGTGTCCGCTATCAGGGCCGCAGGTTTTTTGCCGTCCTTGCGGAGGTTGGAGACGACCTTGGTGGGGTCGTTGTCGAAGTAATGAGAGACGTCGGTCAGCGAGATCTCGCTGCTGTCCAGATTCTGGAACGTGACGTCCACCTTGCTAAGAGCGGACTTGAAGAGACCGGAGGACTCGATGAGCTCACCAGGCGCATCAGAGCTCAGGGCAAAGCCCTTTCGGGTGACGAACTGTTCCTGCAGCTGCTCTTCATCAACATTAGCGCCGTTCTCCACCGCGATACCGACATTCGCAGAGTAGGAGCCCGCCGCGTTGGAGAAGACGCGAGTTGCGGCCTGTCGGAGAGAGATGTTGAGCTCTTCCGCCTGCTCCATGGCGTGCTTGCGCACGAAGTTCTGCTCGGGAGGCTCGTCCGCCTCCGCCGCAGCCTTGATCGCCCGGTCGAGCAGGTTCATCTGATTGATGAAGAGGTCGCGGAAGACTCCCGAGCAATTGCACACGACGTCGACACGAGGTCGCCCGAGCTCCTCAAGCGGGATCAGCTCGACCTTGTTGACGCGTCCAAGAGAGTCGGGGACGGGCCGGGCACCAACGAGCGCCAGAACCTGCGCCAGGGACTCTCCGTAGGTCTTGATGTTGTCAGTGCCCCACAGGGTGAAGGCAATCG